ATTATAAAATATTATCAGGTGTCCTTTAGACAAAGCACACAACCATTTCCCTTTTCCCAAGAAATCCCTAGGCAATCAGGGTCTTGAACCCTGGTAAGCCCCTCACCCCCAACTTCTACTATGATTAAAAACCCCACCCTCCCCGGGCTCAGCGCTCTCCAATCATAAGACTGCATACAACACATGAAGGGTCCAAGCTTGCTTGAATAAAGGCACTTTGCTTTTAAATATGGGATTTCGTCTCCAGGGTGGTCTTTTGGGGGGTCTCCGCAAACTTAGCATGACACTGCCATGACTCCCTCACTGTTATAGGCTCTCCCTCTAAAGCTATAAGCCCCATCCACCAAAGAAAAGTATATAAAAAGTATTTTCTCATAGCAAAAACTAAGAATTGCTACTAACACCTTTAAAGTCATCAGTTTTTTTTATGACATTTAATATAAGTTCACATCATTTTAGAGCAGCAATTCTCAATCTGTGGGTTACCTGCATATCAGATATTTACATTATGATTCATAACAGTGACAAAATTACAATTATGTTTTAGCAATAAAACAATTTTATAGTTGGGGGTCACCACAACATGAAGAACTGTATTAAAGGATTGCAGCGTTAAGAAGTTTGAGAATGATTGTTTTAGAGTAAAAGCTGAGATTTTATTGTCCCTATCAAAATGTGTTTGTGGTGGTTTGAAAATAGCCTCCAAAGGGAGTGAAACTATTAGGACATGAGGTTTTGTTGGGGTAGGTGTGGTATTGTTGGAGGAATTGTGTCACTGTGGAGGTAGGCTTTGAGATTTCCTATGCTTGAGCTATGGTTAGTGTGGCAGACAGTTGCTTCTTCTTTCCTGTGGATTAAGATGTAGAACTCTTAGTTCCTTCTCCAGCACCATGTCTGCCTGCTTGCTGCCATGTCCTGCCATGGAAATAATGGACAAAACCTCTGAAATTGTTAGCTCGTCCTACCCAAATTAAATGTTTTCTTTTGTAAGAGTTGTCTTGGTTGTGGTTTCTCTTCACAACAATAGAAACCTGAACAAAGAAAATACCACAGACTTTTACTTTTCAGTACATTCCTAGACATATGAGTGACAATTTTATCTATCTTAATTTGTTTGATAGTCCTGAGACTTCACAATTATTTGGGAATTTATTTTTCTTAAGACTTTATTTTTATTTCTCTGTGTGTATGTGTGTGTGTTTCTGTATGAGTGTATATTGCACGTGTAAGGGTGCCCATAGAGGCCAGAAGAGGGTGTTGGATCCTCTGAAATGAAGTTATTATCCCTTGAGAGCAAATTATCTATCCATGTTAGTATACTTAAATGGAAAATTTTCTTAAAAGTAGCATGTCTTAAACTCTTTTATGTTGCTTTTAATCAAATTCAATATTTATCAATCAATTCCTATAGACAAGGAACAAAGAACAGAAAAGAAAGAGAGGAGATAGAACTAAGAATAAGCTCAGAATCAATATTCAGCCACTGAGAGATGCCATATAGTCATTAAGTTTTATTAACAACCAGTTTTTGATTATCCTTTGCTTTACATCTAGTATCCATTTATGAATGAGTACATGCCATGTTTGTCCTTCTGAATCTGGGTTACCTCACTAAAGATGATATTTTTTAGTTCTATCCACTGCCTGTAAATTTCTTGATGTCATTGTTAGTAATACTCTATTGTGCATATGTACCACTTTTTCTTTATCCATTCTTCAGTTGAGGGGCATCTAGGTTGTTTCCAGGTTATGGCTGTTATGAATAATGCTACTATGAACATAACTGAGCAAGTCTCCTTGTGGTATGATTGAGCATCCCTTGAGTATATGCCCAAGAGTGGTATCACTGGGTTTTGAGGTAGATTGATTCTCAATTTTCTGAGAAGTCACCATACTGATTTCCAAAGTGGCTGTACAAGTTTGCACTCCCACCAACAGTGGAGGAGTGTTCCCCTTGCTCTGCATCCTCTCCAACATAAGCTGTCAAAAGTGTTTTTATCTTAGCCATTCTGACACATGCAAGATGGTATCTCAGAGTCATTTGATTTGCATTTCCCTGATGACTAAGGATGTTGAACAATTCTTTAAATGTCATTCGGCCATTTGGGATTCTTCTGTCGAGAATTCTGTTTAGATCTGTAGCCCATTTTTTTTAAAATTGGATTGTTTGGTATTTTACTACCTAGTTTCTTGAGTTCTTTACATGTTTTGGAGATCAGCCCTCTATTAGATAGGGGGTTGGTAAAGATCTTTCCATATGCTACCATTTTGTCTTGTTAGTTTCATGAAGTCCTGTATATTAATTTCGATTTCAGTGTCTGTTACTGGTGTGACGGGGGAAATAGAAGAGATCCTCTGGGTAAACTAGGGCCAAGGGGTGGGGATGGGAACATGAGGTATCAGGTTGGGAGGGTTGGGAGCCAGATGGAGGAGAAGAGTAAGGAAAGAGATGTCTTGATAGGGGTGACAATACTGGGTTAGGGGAAAACCTGATATCAGGGAAACTCCCAGGAATCCACAAGGATGACCCCAGGTAAGACTCCTTAGCAATATGGCAGGGGAGGCCTGAACTGCCCATCTCCTGTAATGAGATTGGTGATTACCCTGACTGTCATCAAAGAGCATTTATCTAGTAACTGATTGAAGCAAATGCAGCAATCCACAACCAAGCACTGGGCCAAGCTCTGGGAATCCTGTTGTAGAGAGAAAGGAATGATTGTATGAGACAGGGTGTTCAAGGTCATCACACAGGAACCCACAGAAACAACAAACTTGGACTCATAGGAGCTCACTGACTCTGCCCCATCAGTAAATCTCATTTCTGATGTATTCCACGTTTCCAAGTCCATTCTTTGGATTTCGGTAGGGGCATTTGTTGCTCCCTTGATATGACAGAAGTCAAATTAACTTAAGGGTCCTTAAACACAGTAAGAAACCAGAAAAAGCAGCTTCTATTATGCTAGGAAATAATTAAAAACTGGAGGAAATTTCATACTAAGTCTAACAGATCAGACTGAGGCAACAACCAAGTGTTATGCAGGTGTATGTACTCAGATTTATTTATGCCCCAATTCATTAAAAAATTATTGATATCTTTGTGGCTGACATTTTTTATAAACAGAAAGAATAAACATCCATAAAACACACATGATGCTTACATTGATAGAACTGAAAAACTTACTAAATTGGTCTGCCTAGACAGGGTTTTTGACAACTGTTCATTTTCATGATAGTTTGATTCTTTTGAAAGATTACAGCCTTCAAGTATTTAAAAATTCCTATACATTTTCAGGGGAAATTCTAAGAATAATTTAAAATTTCCTGGCTTAATGGTGCATGATCTCTACAATTTAAAAACAGCAGGGAAAATAGAGAATAAAATTGATGACGAGCAATTAGCTATGAGAAAGGAAAGGTGTAATCACAAGCCATTCCCTGGGATCTGCTTTCCTTAGGTGGCTGAAATCAGAGCTCCTAAGTAATTGAATCCAACACTGAAAACTTCTATAGCCTCTTACTGAGGTCAGAACTGGTCACAGCAATCACTCTGATAATTTCAGTGAAATGGATCAGATTAGTTTACAAAATTACTTTGAGAAGAGTTTAGACAAGAAGATTGAAGCATAAACAAAGTCATGATGTATTGGCATATTTACAGATATCTGTAAATGGTAAAACTAATATTATGGCTTAAAAAATAATGTCCTCTGGAAGAAGAGAATAGCATAGGAAGTGGTACCTATAGTTGCATGGAAATGTCAAGACTTGTATATTGATTAAATTAATGGATGATAAGGTAGTTCTCACACTTGTGACAATAGTGTTGGTTTATAGACTATGCTGGTTCTGTCACAGTGACTAGAATATGCCTATTTTGGACTTGGACAGTATGATGGTAAATAATGATTGTCAACTTGGCAAGGTTTAGAATCACCTAGGAGGCATAGCTTTGAGTATACCTGTAAGGGTGTTTCCAGATTGGACTAACTGAAGTAGGGAGATCTATCACAAATATATTTTGTGCCTTTCCATGGGCTGAAGCCTTACACTGAATAAAAAGGAGAAAGCAGCTGAACCCTCAGCATTCATTGCTCTTTTATGCTTGACTTTGGATGCATTGTGACCCGCTGCCTCATGCTCTGATCTTCATGACTTCCTAACCATCATGGACTGTGCCCTAATGCTGTGAGCCAAAATGAAATCATCCTTCCTTAAGATCTATGTGTTAAGTGTACAATTTATTAACTTTTGATCAGGTATTTTGAGCAGCAACAACAAAAGTAACTAGAACAGATATCAAAAAATTACATTGAGTCTATTGTTTCTCTTTGGTAGAATAGCATTTTATTGTATGAAATAAAAAATAAAAGTTTTTAAAAAGGAAAAATTTAATGTAATAGCTATATATAATAGAATAAAATAAGAAATAATTTTCATTCATAATATGAATATAGTTACATAAATAATTGAAAACTATTAATATAAATTTAATTTTTCTACTGATATTACAATTATTGTGGTTGTATATAAGACTTTATTTTTGTTTGGATAAACATTTATGAACTCTACATATGTGCCATTATTGATATATAGTCATATTATTTTTTTGTTTTTATTTACACAAAGCTTCTGCTTACAAAAGAAATCCTGTGAGGCCGGGAATCAGGATGTTTCCTCGACAGTCTTCTCGTATTGCTAGGTCTCCTGATGCGGGATCCAAGAGGTCTAATACCTTTTCCTGGTAGCTCTCTAAATGGGACATAGTGACAGAAAGGTCCCATGGCCGGCCCTCTGCACTTTCTTCCCTTGTAAGCTGCAGGAGGTCCATGAAAGCTCTGGGAATCACTCCAGGTTGTTCTGGGCTGCCCAGCATTTTGTGTGTCTTCCCTGCCCAAGTAGGCCCATAGGCAAGCACACTGGCATTCTGCCCTTCCAGCAAGTGCCTTAGGATGGGCTGTACTGAACCTATAGGCAAGCACACTGGCATTCTGCCCTTCCAGCAAGTGCCTTAGGATGGGCTGTACTGAACCTACTCTCTGACTTTGAGCAGCACTTCCTCTCAGCCAGTAAAAATCGTGTTGTAGGAGCCACCTGGCTTAACCAGCACTCTTTGTGTAGTCATGCAGTACTCCTGGTCAAGGTGGGTCAGCGGGAACGTTTGGCTCCATTTCGCCAGAAAGAAGGAAAACTCTACCTTATTGATTTGGCTGGTTCCGAGGACAACCGTCGCACAGGCAACCAGGGCATTAGGCTCAAAGAGAGTGGAGCCATCAACACCTCCCTCTTTGTACTGGGCAAAGTGGTGGACACATTAAACCAGGGCCTCCCTTGTATACCATACTGGGACAGCAAGCTCACTCGCTTATTGCAGGACTCTCTGGGTGGCTCAGCTCACAGCATCATTATTGCCAACATTGCTCCTGAAAGACATTTTTACCAGGGTACAGTCTCAGCGTTGAACTTCACTACTACATCCAAGGAGGTGATTAACTGGCCTTTCACCAATGAGAGTCTACAGCCTCATACCTTGGCACCTGTTAAGCTGTCTCAGAAAGAACTGTTAGGCCCGTCAGAGGCAAAGAAAGTCAAAGGCCCTGAAGAAGAATCAACTGAGAGCCCTGAGTCTATAGCAGCTCCAGCTTCTGCCTCCCAGAAACTAAGCCTCTTACAGAAACTAAGAAATATGGACCCAGCCATGTTGGAGAACCTGCTGAGCTTGGATCATATGCTGGGCTCCCAGGGGAGCCAAGGGACACCTCTACTGAATACTCCAAAGTGAGAGCGAATGTTTTTCATTAAGACAGTGGAGGAAAAGGACTTGGAGATTGAGAGGCTTAAGATGAAGCAAAAAGAACTGGAGGCCAAGGTGTTGGCCCAGGAGGTGCTGAATCCAAAGGAGAAAGAGAACATCCCGGCAACTCCCCAGCCCCTCCCTTCTTGTCCAGGCACAACCGCAAAGCCCCTGAAAAGGGCCGTGATGATGCCTCTGCAGCTAATTCAGAAGCAGGCAGAGTCAAAGATCCATATTCTGAAGAAAGGCCACAAAAGAAAGCTGGAGCCATCACATGTGTCCGAGCCTGTGGAAAAGGCTGAGGACTGCTGGGAGCTACAGATTAGCCCACAGTTACTGGCACACGGACGCAAAAAATTATTGGATCTGCTGAATGAATGCTCAGCCCGAGATCTTCGCAGCCTGCAGCTCATTGGCCGGAAGAAGGCCCAACTCATCATGGGCTGGAGGGAGCTCCGTGGCCCCTTCAGCAAGGTGGAGGACTTGGAACAGGTGGAAGGCATTTCTGGAAAGCAGGTAGAGTCTTCCCTGAAGGCGAACCTCTTGGGCTTGGCTGCCGGCCAGCACTGTGGTCCCTCCTGACTACCAGCTCTTAACACTACCTTTTCCTTTTAAAACCCTTGTATAATGATATGTTCGTGTAAATACAGTTTTTATTCCATGAAAAAAAAGAAATTCTGTCTTCAAAATTGCAAATATATTAGATTCATAAAGTTGTATATATGCTACCAATATCTGATATATTAGGATAATTCTAATTTACAAACTTTCTATTGATAAAAAATTCACAACTATTTGAAGCAATGTAATATAATTTTATTTTAAACAGTTTTATAGTTACTGTTTTTTTTTTCTATTCTTCCATGACTAGGAAATGAGTGCTTCATTTAATGGTAATGGTATCAAGTAGTTTATCAAAGAAATATGCACTAGATGTGGTGGTGCACACCTTTGGTCCCAGCACTCAGGAGTCAGAGGCAGACAGATCTCTATGAGTTCAAGGCCAACCTGGTCTACAAAGTGAGTTTCAGGACAGCCAAGACAACATTATGAAACCTTTGTCCCAGAAAAACAAAACCAATAACAAAAAAGAAAGTAATATGCATGTCCAATATCTTTACTTTTTATTATTTTATGTTATGGGTGCTTTTGGCTTGCATGTATGTCTGTATGTCACAAACATGCCTGGCACCAGCAGAGAACAGAAGGATGTATCCAGTCCTCTGGAAGTGGTGTTATATGTATTTGTGAGCTACCATGTGGGTTCTGGGAACTGAACAAAGGTAGTCTGGAAGAGCAGCCTGTGTTCTTAACCACTGAGCAACATCTCCAGTCCCATATCCAATATCTTGTTCACATGTTTTCTTTGATTTGACATATCTCTATGGCTTTCCATGGAAAATTATAAGATAGCTTTTAAAAATATTTATTTTATTTTCAATGATGTGTATATGTGTGTCGATGTGCATGTGTGTATTGTATATGAGTTTATGCATGTGATTTCAGGTGCCCAATGAGGCCTGAGGAGAATAGGGTGGTAGATTCTGTAGAGATGTACTTACAGGCAATTATGAACCACCTCATGTCGGTGCTGAAGCCAAACTTGTGTCCTCTACAAAGGCAGTACATGCTCTTAACTACTAAGCAATCTCTCCAGCTCCTATAACACAATCTTGATTACACTGTTTGATGTTTACTAATTAACTAAAGTTGCTGACTTAACAAATAACACCACATTAATTTTAAAACACAATTATTTTTCTTTAAATTCAACTTCTAATTATCTACTTACTCATTACTAGTATTACCTAATAAAAACCTATCATGTCAAATATTGAGCCAAGAGTTTCAAAGAGGCTCTTACTCACATTTAATGGGAATAGAACCAAGAAATGGATTTCCCATTGTCTTGAGATATCAGTATCCATTTCTCCTAAAAATTCTAGGTAACATATACAACAGAGGCTTAACTTTTGAATTATATATAATATTATATTATATATATATATAAAATTAGTAATACAAACTTTTGAAGTTTTTGCTTGAAAATTATATTTGACACATGTTAATATAAATTAAGCATAAGATTAGAATATGCATAATGGTAGTGAGTATTTATTATCTACTCTATCTGCTCATTCTGTACTGAACTAACTAAACATGACAATTATAAATCATCAATTCAGAAGTTCTAAAGGAAGGAGAGGAATGACATAATATATTTTAAAAGACAGCATCAGAAATAACACCTGAAAGTAGTTACAAAATAGAAATAAGCAGTGTTAAACTGGTTGTATAACAGCTTTCTGGATACTGTCCTTCCCCATGACTGAACAATTGAAGGATATTAAAAAACATCTCCACTGACTTTGTGAGGTATGTCTTGTGAACAAAGCTCTATCTCTACTTATGGGATCCAGTAGTCTATCAGGTAAATGCTTTCATACACAGTGAGACAATCTCTGCCTCACATTGGATTAGAATATAAATGTATGTATGTTTTTAAACATCACAAAGCAGAAAAATAAAGGAGAGTTTTGAGTTACGAGTTTAAGTAGTTTAGTGATGTCCTTAGAAACTAAGCTCCTTAAAAAAATTTTACATGCATCTTACAAAGTTGGTGACATTTTGAGATAGGTAATTATAATAATCTAGACAGCACAATATCCAGTGAAAGAAGAGATGCTTTTCTTGCTGTTCTAGGAGAGTGTCTTAGTTATGGTTACCATTGCTATGTTGAAACACTATGACAAAAGCTACTTTGGGAAGAAGATGTTTATTTAACTTATACTTCCATATAATTGCATTGAAGGAAGTCAGGACAGGAACTCAAACAGGGCAGGATCCTGGAGGCAGGAGCTGATGCAGAGGCGATGGAGGGGTGTTGCTTACTGGCTTGCTTTACAGGGCCTGCATAGCCTGCTATCTTATAGCCCAAGACCACATGCCCAGGGATGACACTACCCACAATGGGAATCATCAATTAAGAAAATTCACTACAAGCCTGCCTGAAAACCAATCTTTTGGAAGTATTTTCTTATTTTTTTTAAATCTTTTCCTCCTATTCTTTTTAAATAACAAAATAAAATATAATAAGATAAAACAAAAACCATCACATTGAAGTTGGACAAGGCAAACTGGCAGAAGGAAAAGATCCTCACGTGAAGGCAGAAAAATCAGAGACCCAGTCATTTACACATTCAGGAGTCCCATAAAGGTATTAAACCTGGAAGTATTTTCTTAATTGAAGTTCCCTCCTCTCAGTTTTATGTCAGATTGTGTTAAGTTAACATAAAACTATCCAGCAGAGAGGGAAAGACAAAGATTTTTGTAAGCTTGAAAATTTGACTTTCCACTATGTCTTAATGGTTATATTAGGTCACCTAATAATTTGTAAACAAATTGGCCTCTATTTTGCTGAATATTATGGTTGTGGAAAAATGGCTATCCATAAATATGTGATTGCCTTATGAAGTAATATGATTGGAATAGGCTCTGGATAAAAAACATGTTCATAATCCTCTGGCAGGTAGGACATAGGCACTACATGGAAACCTCAATACCATCATCATTACAATAAATAAATATGAGATGTTAAGATGATAATAGTCATGAATTTGAATACTTAATGCTATCAGAATGTTTTAGTATTTTTATTATATTTGAAGCCATCACTCAAGAGGCCCAAAACTTAATATTGATTTAGAATTAATTGATGACAGACACACTAACCTTTATAAAGTGTTTTGATAAATGTTTTATCTAGTTTTGAATTATTGGTGCAGAATTTTTAAAATTGAAAATGACTTGATATTCATAAAATGACAAATTTCTTGGGAATTCTGTAATTATGAGCCTAAACCAGGACAAAAGTAGCATATTTATAAAACAAGAACAAATTATTATATTTGGTCTAAAGTTGTCTTTAGCAGTATTTAATAATAGGATCACAAAGAGTGAATTAGATGCATAAATCATGTGATGATTAATCTTGGTTGTCAACTGGACTGCATTGGAAAAACTAAATCCCAAGTATGACCACTCCTGTGAGGATTTTCTCAATCAGATTATTTCAAGCAAGAAGACTCACCTTAAATCTGGGCCACACCCTCTGTTGGCAGCTCACATAAAAGGACATGGAAGAAGGAAGCTTTTGTATTTTGTCTGTTTGCCCTCATCATCAGTGACGAGTTCATCTGTCCTGTTGCTGAGGCATTACTTTAGTGGTATTAAAACCTACTTCTTCGGCCGGGCGGTGGTGGCGCACGCCTTTAATCCCAGCACTCGGGAGGCAGAGCCAGGCGGATCTCTGTGAGTTCGAGGCCAGTCTGGGCTACCAAGTGAGTTCCAGGAGAGGCGCAAAGCTACACAGAGAAACCCTGTCTCGAAAAACCAAAAAAAAAAAAACAAACAAACAAAACAAAACAAAAAAAAAACAAACCTACTTCTTCAGGATTCCAATATACACCAAAGACTATCAGTTATCCAGGAATCTTCCAGGCATATAGCACCAGATTGAGACTGCTGAGACATCCAGTCTCATGGACTGAGACAGATTATCAATTTTAGATAGGGATTGAAGCCATATGAAAATGAAGAAGACAGAAACGGACCTCAAAGAAACAAATAGCATTTTTATCATTATGAGGGGCAAGCAACCTTCTTGAGGAAATGAAGGTCTTGTCTTGTGGGGATGGGGAAGCCAGGGTTTTATAGAAGATAAGAATGTGGATTGGGGCAAAGAATTTTTGTGTTTTTTTCTGAGAGTGTGTGTTTGGTTGGACACCTGTGGCTATTTGAAAATGTAAGGTTTAGCTTAGAGTGGACTTCCTTATCAGGAGGGTCAAATGTTTTGATTATGGGAAGGGGGGGATTCCTCATTTCCACCATCTTTCATTCGTCCTCTCCAGTGTGAGACAGAGCTATTGTTGAACTATCTGGACTGCATCCTATAATCCAGTCTAATAAATCCCCCTTTAATACACAGTAATGATATCAGTTCTGTTCTTTTAGAGAACTTTGACCAATATATATTGATCATTAAAGTCCTGTTTTATTTCTCTAAATTTAGAATCTCAACTACAGTCAGTATCAGTATACTCTGAATTGCAGTCACTGCAACTTCTCTCAGTATTCTGATGATCCTTAAATTGAGAGGTAAATTAGTACATTTCATAGATTTTTCATGTAGCTGCTCATAGTCCCTAAGATCCCACCTTTTGCTTTTTACAGAAATTCCTTGCACCTTTCGTGTTTTTTCCCCACTCCCCTTTCTATAGCCTAAGTCAGCCAGGGAAACCACCTTGTACCCCATGTAGGCTCTGTACTTGGACTAGGAGAACTGCTCCTGCCTCAGAGTATCAAACACAGGCATGATAAGTGTGCACAGACATGACTGGGTGACACACTTTTCTTCTCATTTTTCTCTTGAGAACTAACTTTGTGCTAGTGGAACTGTCTTGATCATGTAAGCAGAGGATTGTAAGTATGCTATTAATGTCTAGCAGGGAAAATATAAAACTCTTGTTCTATCATCTCTAGTGACAATTTTGAGATGCAATTTACAATCCAAAGACTGACATTACCCCAAATGTGCATATTTG